ATGCTGTATATACCAAGGAAGACGACGGCTTTTATGCCATCATAGGGAGTGTCAATGGTGCGATTTCCATGCGCCTACTTATATTAAATAGTTATATGTAGCTTAAAACTCTAGTCAACTAAATAACAATGATTCCATACACATACTGATGAATCATTCGATCCTGTAACCTCTGACAATATATATATTACTTTTATTACCTGTTCCCGACGACGGTATTAATAATATGGTTGTTTTCGATGCTGCTTGGCAAAAGCACTTCCTAAAAAACAAGCAACAACTTTGGGTTCAGGAGTCAAGACAATTGTGGCTTATGCATAAATTGAATTCATAGGCTCTAGTAACTAAGTAAAAGGCACCTGCAAACCAGATACTCAGGAAACTAGACTTTCAACCATTACCCAATTGAAAAATAGATTGCAGATTTCTCCCGAAATATTAGAACATAATTTGGAGGGTCTTGCTCACATATTCCAAAACCCCTCCCGCCTGTGGTAAGTTTCCTGTCAAACACAAATTAATTATTCCGCTTCAAGACCGAGCAAATCATTCCAATACTTGGTGACAAAGACATTCTTAGGATCAAATTGAGCACGTAAGGCCTTCCATTCCCCAAACTTTGGATACGACTCCTCAACAAAGCCTGGACCAATGGTTCGACTACCATAAGTCTTACCAACAGCAGGCCAGTGCTTGCCCCAATGCAAGCGGGCACTCTCGAAGGGCAGCAACACCTTCCAGAATTTGTCAAAGTAGTCATCCAGATCGCCAATGACGTTGTACTCCCACCAATATGGATCGATGCGGATAACGTCACGTCCATAAGACATGCTCATCCAAAATGGCGACTTTTTTCCAGGGTAGATCTCGACGCCGAAATTCCCGGCCGCAAATAGGTCATTCTTGAACAGGGTAGTGAGTGTGTCAAACACCTTCTGAGCATCTTCCAAGTCGATCCAGATCTCTGTGAACTGAACTCGGATCACAACGTCAATTAGGGCCAGGTCGTCGTTTGGCAGCGCCCTGTACCAGTGGTCACAGAAGTTCTGGGAAGACCCCACGGGCTGGATAATGTTGAAGATCAGCGCGGCCAGTTGCGGTGCGTTGTCATATGTCAACCAGGCTGTGGCCAAGAAGGTGGTAGCAGCGGCGTAGTTCATGTTTCGGCTCTCAAGCGGGTGTACATAAGGCACAACAGGGTTGCCCGGATCTTCCGCGACTTGGTTGCCTGTCCACTGCAGGACACTGTTGACAAACTCGGCGGCGAACCACACGTTGTGGACATAGTGGTTTTGATGCACCGCATTGAGGAAGTCGGTGCCGCTTTTGATGATTGAGTTTTGCCGGTAAACGGTCTCTTCCTTTCCCTTTACAAGGTACTTTTTCCCCGCGGTGATGGTGATGTGAGTGAACACTCCGAAAAGGCCCATCGATACGGCAGCAGCGTTGAACTCATCTGGGTTAGTAACCTTGTCCAGCTTACGCACTTCTCCCTGTCCATCAACAAGTTCGATGGCCAGAATCGAGTCTGCGCAGCCAAAGTCAATGGATCCTCCCGCAGTGCTGGTGCTCATGTAGCCGCCAATTGTCTGATGCGACATGCCGCCAAGAATTGGGAGGGCATAGCCACGAGCGTCGAGCTGCCGAGTTAACGAGTTGCTTGCGTTTGAATTAGGGTCGGACGGGTCGATGCCAAGGTTGCAGCCGGCCCCTACTCGCAAGGTGATCGTGTCGTTTACCGGGTCTTTATCGAGCCATTCAATGGCCCTAAGATCGCCTTCCAGCTTAACTCGGATGGCCTTTTCGCCTTCTGGAGCAAACACAGCTTCCGGGGTAGAGTGCTGGGCACCGGCTATGCGCAGAATCGAACCATTACTCAGACACTCCTTCACCTTGGCCTGGACCTCCTCAACGGTACTGCAATAGACAAGATTGGTGTAGTCGGCCTCCCATTTGGTTGGAATCATCGTGTTTTGATCACTGATCCATATGTACAAAAACTCCAGCAACTCCTCCAGCGTATCCTCGCCCACTCCATTCAACACATCCCCCGGGGAGTGTTCATTAGTGCCGAGAAGTTTGAGAATACTCCCCCAGTTGACTTTTTGGTTGGCAGACTCTGCATTCAAGGCCACTTTCTGCAAGAGTGCAGAAAGCTTCTCAACTTGGTCCAGAGGAGGGACAGTTTCAGTCATAGTGGTTATTGTTAGGTTGTTATGATTGTAATATGGGTCAGAGCAGGGTTTCAAAGCGAGAAGAAACGTAAGGTTGATCTAAGAGGCAACCTAGAGAGATAGAATGTAGCCTATCGTGCCATGACATTGTGGGGATGGAAAGGGCGCTGGAGATATATGCCATCCTGCGCAAGAAAGTCTGAGCTGAAAGCTGAGGCGCTTTCATGCCTCCTGACCAAATGCAGAACAATCATGAATTGCGAATTGAGGACCAATCGAGGAGAGGTGTCGTAGTTGTTGGGTGTCAGAGCCTGTTTTCTCATTGGGAGGTTATGCGACATTCCTTTTGCTCAGCAGCGCCATGCCTCGCTTTCCAAGAACGGGGCGTTTTCTTCGCCTGCCACTTGGTAATTTGCGCCGAATCTTAACTAGCGTCACTCCTGACGCTGTTAGCTAGTATCGCTGTCTTACTCGGGCGCTCCCTTCTCGTTAGCATCAAATCCCACGGAAGGACTGCGTAAGTTCGCTCACATCTTGCCCTTGCCGAATGATCATATCATCAACCCTCTTGCCGGCCTTGAGCTTGTAGATCAGTTGATACCATTTCTAAAAGGTCTCCAGCGAGCTAACACGACGGATGCCAGGTCGTCTCCGCCCGCCTTTTCCCCCTTTGCTGGTCGCAGACCCAGCTAAGGAAGCCTTTAATGAATAGAAAGTAAAGCTTAATAATGAATATAAATATTATATAATTTATTGATTTATTTATTATTATTAATATATTTTATAATAAGGCCGGGAGCTTATCCCAGTATCAAGGGGCTTATTATAACTTCTGTTGACTAGTATCAGGGCTTCAAGCATGTATAATGTCTCAGAGTTAGTGGCAATATATACAATGGCATATGACTGTATAGTCGTAAAGGCTTATGCATGTTGCCACCTAAGCAGGTATATAATAAGTGTTGTGTTCTGTAGTCTAAACCCCTTAGTTGTCTCTGCATCACTCAATAGCCAGTATAACTGAGTTTCACCTTGATCCGACTATAACCTGTGCACCTATATTGCCTCTGTTCGAGAACTTCTTTAAAGCCTATTCTAGTTCCCTTAAATCCTTCTCGCTAGGAGTTAACATTCTTAATAGCCGCGCGACTGGCTATTAGCACAGCTAGGCAAGACGGGTGAGTAAAGGTGAGGCGATAGAGTACACACAAGAAGGCTGGTGGGGAGGGGTGAGTGTAACAGCCTAAGCTAGCGACTAGGTCAGTCATGTAGTAGCGCTGCCGTATGGGAGACGAAGTGCTAGCGGTACAGTTGGGGGCTGCAATCTGCATCTAGTTGCAGCTATGGATTAAGGTTAACCTGCAGTTCCAAAAAAAATATTATACATGCTCTCGAATCATAGCTCCTTCTTGCTAGCTGTCTTAATAGTCTCTACCTGTGCAAACACCGTGGCTGTCTCCTTCACGCTGAGGAAGAGAAGCACAAACGGAATCACAATCCAGAAGGCATTGCATAATATAAAGTACATGTAAAAGTAGTACCTCTCCGGCCGGTAGAAGGCGATGCCGATGACAGCTTCGTTGAAGATGGAAGTTGCGAGGTAAAGCACGTTACCATAAAGCTGGCCGAGGCTAACAATTATTTGAAACGGATGTCGGAAAGGGTGGTCTACCACGACCCAGTATGCAATGGCAAATGATAGAGGTCCCCAGAAGATAGCGGTGACAGTCTCCATGCAGACAGTGAACGGGTCCGTAGTCAAATACCTTGAGTCAGAGAGGGAGTATTCTTTCCAGAGCTGGCCAAAGAGATCATTGTGGCCCGGCATGTCACGGAAGTGATAGACGAAGTACCCTAGACAACTATCAGCCGAGTTACAAACGCGTAGCTTCGGACAACTTAGATCTACCTTCAAAGAAGAAATGGATGAAGGCACAGAGCACAAACCACATTGTCGTCGCTAACTTGCCGTTCGAGATGTTGGGTCTGGCATGTTTGACTACGAGATAAGTCGCCAGAAATATGACGGCCACTCCTGAGACAAAACATTCAACCAGAAGTAATGCCGGGATAGTATTGGCAATATATCCGGGGAGATCAATGCCGATGGGAGAGTATGGATGCTGCAAAGCATCGTCAATATTTGCTGAAAATGCATTCATCGTGCGAATGGTACAAATAAGCTCGAGGCACTTGGCAGAAAGGAATTAAATTTGCTTAAGAATGACTTCTAAAGAATGAAAATGGTATCATATCCTTAAAATGTTTAGGAGGTTGTTTACATATATAGTGTCACGGCAGCTCTGTGATACCCCATGGCCACGGATGCTATTCCCTTCGCCGGTGCCAAGAGCCTTTGCTTAGCAGCCCCTTTTCATTTTTTACGTGATCCAGCCACCTGAAGGCAGTAATTTAGTATTTGAGCAATAAATTCTATTGGCGGAAACCATCTGCCAAGTGAAGCATCTTGGCACCGTCGGAGGAGATAGTCCCGGGCATCGTAAGATCAGGCCATTTCTTGGGGTAGTTACAAAAACATAGAATCTGAAGCTGCTTTGGAATGTCACTGTATTACAACGATTTCGCTTCTCCGACTAGGAGCAAATACAAAGCATACCTCTTTACAATCAGTTTATGCAGTCAAGTATTGTGTCACGTGAAAAACACTCAAAGCATCCGCGACCGTATAAAAGTATATCCGCTCCGATCCCTTCGCGTAACTCTGCAAAAATAGATTGCTAAAAGGTGAATAACTCCATATCCTTAGCCAGAATTATAATAGTAAAAAGGTACAAAATAGACAGACAGCCAAAAGTAGAGGAAAAGAGGTTCCTGCGTGGATCGAACACGCGACCGTAGGATAGAAGTTAGGTGAACTGCAATCCTACGCTCTACCGCTGAGCTAAGAAACCACTTCGAAAAAAAAATCCCTTAACCTGCTATAAAATACTAACATGTTGCATGTCTTGTGTTACGCTAGAGCACGGAAGACAAAATCATCCTCCAATACTGCAGGACATCCATGATTCGTATAGGTTGACATACTTAATAACTTTCAGAAAGGTAAGCAGCACCACTTTATTAACAAAGGCCCTCCAACCTATAAATCGCATCTTTAATGGAAGAGGACAATGGCTAAGTCTTAACATCTACATTCAACGAGACGGTTAAGCGTGTGAGAAGAGGAGATCTTTCTTGGGCAGAACGTTACGCCATTTGCACTGGCGATGGCGAGGCAGCGACCTGGCATTTCTAGAAAAGAAGAATATGCCGAGCAAGGACACGACAGCTACCAAATGACAATTCGGCTGCGTCTGCTATGCCTGGGTAATTCTCTGTCCTCTCCCACTTTCGACTATCGACTCGCTTGAACCTCAAATCCCTTTTCCTCTTCGGCCTTCGGTAGATCGCTCCTAGTTAATCAATCACCTCTACTAGCTCTCCCAGTAGGCCGACTAGTAAAATGTTCGAGAGCAGTCTATGGGGGTGTTTAACGACTGTTCCAGAGCGCTTGGGAGGCATCACAGTTAGTTTTAAAGGCTGGAGAGGACTGTGCATAAGGATCATACGGCGTTCGGCTTGTCGGTATGGTCTGTGCCTGTAGAGTGTCACTCTGGAGAGCTGGTTGGACTGGTTCTTCGCCTTTCTGGACCCGAAATTCCACGCTTTACAAATCCAGGGTGATCAGACGGGGTTGTGTCTTGGCACTAGGATGATCTGACGTAGATTTCCGACCCGGATCCGCATGTTGTGCTGCTGTACGGAGTATTGGGTATAAATTACGGTACGGCGCTGGTGATCCATAAGCCCTAACCTAATGAGGAGGAGCTACGAAGAGCAGGACGCATACGCGTGTATCCCTACCGTCTGGGCTAGTTCAGTGGTTCTGGGTCTTACTCCGCAGCCACGCACCTCTTAAAACCCCGTGAAAGGCACTGGCGGTACCTCTCCGCAAAACTTCTCCAGTGTGCCTTTTTTGCAGGTATGGTTGATACCAAACAACCAGAGGCCCTGGCCGTCATTGGAATCTTTCTAGGTGTGAGCACACTCTTTATTGTCCTGAGGATCTGTGCGAGGGTCATTTCCTGGCAGAATGAGGGTCGTTTCGATACGTTGATGATGTGGAGTAAGTTGTCTATTTTCCCCAGAAAGTTCGACTTGTATTGTTATCGGTACCGGTACGACCGCCGTATGTGTTGGGCATGTTTTCTGCAACGAGCCCCGAACATCTCTCATGCTTGTCATTTCTCATACCATTTTCCTCCCGACGCTATCAAGGAGATTGAGAAGGCATGCGTTTGGTTTTGCTGGAATGGGGGGATTCACAGCAACTATAATCTTTTGACGCATCTGTACTAAGAGATATATAGGTGATGGTTTCCTCTTGGTCGCATATGTAAGCTATGCTTTTGTGGATTGGGATATTGTTAGCTTCAACGTACAGAGGTTCTAACTTGAGCTAGGTCCTCGCTGTTGGGGAGGCATATGCTATCATTAGATGTTTGTGACAACTCTCTCAACTTGTCATAGGGGATGCTAACCAATTATTAGATACCCTGTATACCTGGCAGGGTTACCACGTAGCAGACATCCCAAAAATGAGTATCGACGACCAGATCACGGGCCAGAAATACAATCTCGCCAATCAGCTTCTCTACAATCCCATTCTCTCTCTAGTCAAAATGTCCGTGGTCTTTCTCCTCCTTCGTATCGGCGAAGCGAAGCCTGCCGCAAAGAAGGCTCTCTGGTTTACATTGGTGTTGAACATGCTACTCGCGATTGCGATTTTCTTCGCGGACGCCTTCCAATGCACACCATTCCGCTACGTATACGACTATCCCGCCATGGATTTGGCGGCTCAACAGGCCGCTGGCGCCAACAGCAGCGGCCAGGTCAATGGCGTGACAATCAAAGGAGGGCAGTGTATAAACCAAATCAACTTCTTCCTCATATCAGCCGGACTCGCCGTTGGCACTGACCTGCTGGTTCTTGCGATACCGACGGTCATTGTGTGGGACTTGAAGATGACACGTAGAAAGAAGATTATTGCTGCCGGGATTCTCAGCGTTGGGGCCATGTGAGTTCATGTCAGCGGACGCCATGTAATTGGCATTAATCAGGTTGCATAGTGTCACTGCGGTCTCGGTTGCACGTCTCGTTATCTACCACTGGCGATTCTCTGCCAAGAACAAAGACAGGAGTTATGGACTCGGTTACACCATTTCTTGTGTGGAAATCAACCTTGCCATTGCTACAGCTTGCGTGCCACCGCTGAAACCGCTTGTGCGACGCATTGCTCCCAAGTTGCTTGGCTCGGCCAACCGATCAGGGCCAGGATACCGACACACGCCCTATGACAATGATGCTCAATTTGAGCTCGGTGCGAAAATGACAGGGTGGAAGGGTTCCCAGCATCGAGTAGAGGCGTGGTCGAGTAATGAGCAGATTCTTGCAGAACCAGAGAAGATTCGGCGGACGACGAATGTCGAATTGACCTTTGGCGAGGCCACCTCTTCGGACGGCAAGCATAGTTGAAGTCTTCCCAAGGATCTCTTTCTGTCAAACTTAATGGTGAAAGGCCATCACAACCTCCTCCTGATGCTGAGAGCGATTATTCAATGCGAAGTAAGTGACACAATATGATTTCGTGCACGGGTTGACGCTGGATATACCGGAATCAAAATCTGGCTATTTCCGATATATCCAGTGTCAATTGTATATAGGAAATCACTGACGAGTGTATATATCCAGCTCGGGAGAAGTGCAGAATGGAAACCAAGACGCTCTTTGCATTCCACACCTAAGGCTCCCCTCATAAAGGCAAACCACCCAAGTCAGAAACAGAGCTGCCGCCTCTAATCTTAGCCCGGAGAGGCTGAGAAGCATTCCGCCTACTGCAATGAGACAGTTATGATCACCACCAAGTAAGCCTTTCCAAGAATGAGGCTCTACATTAAGCTGATGTATTTATCCCTGTAGACCACGTTACTTGAGCGACCCACCCCTCCAAGTGGCGGAGCTCCTGATACGCGGGTGATAGGTGATAGATGATGCCTGTCCGGAAAGTGATTGAGTAGCAGATTAAGCGGGTCAAGGCATACGGTTATCGAGCAAGCATTAGAGGACTGTCATATATCAGACTTGGAAGGACCTGCTTGACTGGCCCACATGTAAAATATCTTTGAGCCGTAATTAGGTACCACCAAAACTTAACATATCTCAGAATTATGTCTTCTCGTGTTATATTAACAGTTCTTATATTACCTACATTGGATTGGTCTTACGTTATTTGCAATCTGGCTATGACATTTGTCCCATCAACTGCCCCTAATCACAACTACTATTCTCTACTCCCCGGATATACTGGTAGGTGAGGTCCAACGGTCAAATTATATAAATCTCTAGGTAACATTTAACTACCGCTGCATCATTTCTCTAAAAGTCTATATACCAGCTGTGTCTAAACCCTACAAAGCTTCCCATCTCCACTCGGCAATCCATTCGCAGTAACCACCTTCCAAAACTCACTCCCCACGGCCGTCTGGGCGAAGAACACATCCATCGGATCAAGCTGCTTCTTAATCTTCAGCAGCCGCTCATACGATGTCCCATAGAAGCTTTGCTGGAAATCGGGCTCCAGGATATCACTCTCGCCCAGATAAGATCCAGCACCCGGCGAGACATCCCGCCAGCGCTGCATGAAGCCAAAAGTGAAATTCTGGCGCGCTTGGAGCTGCACAGCGGCACTGGCGCCTTGGGCCCAGTTTATGGATTGAAGGACATGGGCGTAGGTGTTTCGCCATGCGGGATTAGCGGCATTGTCCGGGTATCCTCCGTTTTTGAGACTGGGGTCGATAATGAACGCAATGATAGTAAGACCGGCTTCCGAGGAGGTCTTGATTGCCTCGAACGTTGCATTGAGGGATTCGGGCGATTCCCAGTTTTGCTTAGGAAACAAGCGGGAGCCGGTAGCGACGTGTGTCTTTTCAACCGCCTCAAGGGGGAACGATGCCAGCCACCCTGGGTAGAAGGAGTCGTAGTGCACAGTCTTAGGCGTGAATGTGATGTTAAGGTCGGTAAGCTGAGCAAACCAGGGAGCTAACAGGGCGTTAGTTTCGTCTAAGGTTTTCCCAGGCGCCCAGAACGGCTGCATGAGGAACATAGGACCAGAGGCCGTGGACAGGATGAACCAGTAAGCATAGATGCCTTGCGACGAAAGTGATGGAAAGTAGTCTAAGTAGTTCCGCACTCCAGACCAGAAATTTTCAGAAGTAATGCTTCCATTGTTTCCTCCTACCGCAAAGGAGAACGTTGATGCCGTAACCGGCATATCAGGATATGCCTTAACGGTAATAGATGTGACGACACCAAAGGTGCTGCCGCCACCTCCACGGATAGCCCAAAACAGATCGGTGTTCTGAGTAAAATCTGCTGTGACGAATCGCCCATCTGGTGTGACGACTTCCGCTGACAGTACTTGGTCAGCAGCCAAGCCATGCAGACAACTTAGGGGTGAGTGACCGCCGCCTTGAATATAGCCACCCATTACCCCAACGGTCTAAATGTCCGGTTAATACCTGAGAACAATGAAGTAAAAAAGATGGTCGTACCTGGCCTTCGCCACCAACCACCACGAGTCCTCTGTTATAGGCCTCCTTATAGATTTCAAATGCTTGAACACCAACACCGGACTTAAACGCCGGGCCGGTGTACTCAGTGCCTTTTGCAGAATAATTTGAGAAATACTTTACATCTTTCAGGTTGTGGGTCCAGATACTTAGAGCACCAGCGCCGCCCGATTTCCCGGAGAAGTCATGGCCAGTATTCTTGACGACCAATCGAAGATTGCTGTTCCTTGCAAAGTTGATTCCTAATTGGACTTGGGATACAGTCGAAACATTAATGGCATAGG